TCTCTCGACCACTGCATGGTCGCAACTGAACTGAGTGGACGAAAAACTTCATAGCCCGCGCACCATATTGCGCATGGCGCCACCTTCCTAGGACTAATGGCCGCCACGTGGCGCGCAATTCAAATAAGTAAGTTCCCGCGCCGCACCCTGTACTTCTCAAGGTGCTGACCTGAGGCTTCGTCGAATTTCTGGAGTGTGGGTGCCTTTCGACTATCGAGCTTCTTGAGCATCTGCTGCCAGGTATCAAAGTCTGGACTAGGTGCACCTTCTCGACGGGAACGGCGACATACTCTCCTCTTCAGCGAAATTTCATGAGAACTCTCATCACTATCAGAAGAGCTACTATCCATACCTGTAGCAATCGTAGAAATAGTCGAAACATCGCTCCCTGCTGCAGACATTGACACTCGGACATCCTCCTTGACAATGCGACGTTTCGGGATTGCTCCCGTGGCGTGAGCGACGGGTGTAGGTGCGGTGACAACAGAGGAGGAATCAATAAAAAAACCTGACCATTTCTTCTTAAAATCGCTTAATTGAACAGAACTCCGTGGTGAAAGGTTGCTATGACGGGCCTTCAGGTTGTCAAGAAATGTGCTCAAATATACAAGGTTTTCATTAATAAAATCATCTTGCTCTTGCTGAGACACTGGTGGTTCCACATTCACATTGGCCTCTGCCACTGGTGGAGAAACTTCCACATTCACATTGGCCACTGCCATGATAAGCTGGCAGATGGAACTAATCAAAGCAGGAAAGGCACATATAAAGCACAAAGTTACACGACACTGTCACTTTTAGGTCACGGCACCATTATGCTGGGGGACTACTTCATAATCACTTAAACTCAATACGGCCGTGAAAGGTTCAGTTAAGATAGAACACTGAGTATTCACACTGTATTTATTAAAACAAATCTGTACACTTGCGTTGTGCCCTTGTAGTCCTTACCAGCTAAAGTCTAACACATGAATGACTAAAATCCTGCAAGTATACAAAACCTAAATTGCGGAACTAAAAGTCTGAATGAAAATGGAAAATTGTTGCTAAAAATATCAATAAATTTATACTATTCCCTAACACCACAATTGCATATTTTTCGTTTAAAAATTATAAAACAACTCTTTACAGTTAAAAATAAGAAAAATGTAATAAAAATATGACATTCATTCACTTATTAACAACTCAAAAAATCATATCCTTAACTTGAAAAAAATATACTCTTGGCTTAAAAAATCTATTACTGACGTGAAGAAAATTATTTCATTGACATAAAAATATATATCCTTGAATTGGAAAATATATCATTGCTATAAAAAATTCGTCCTTGACATGAAAAAATGTATCCTTGACTAGAAAAAATATATTTAGTTGATCAGAAAAAAAATCGTTTCAGTTTCGTCCATAATCCAGTTATTATGTGCAGAGAATTCGTACCTAATCGTGATTTCAGCCAACACCATTAAAACTTATCAACTTTTGGCTCATTGGTGTTGACTGAAATCAACTTTTGGCAAGGCAAGAGTCGATAACTCGATAAGGGGTCATAAATACGCATAACTAGAAACTTAGCAGCAATAAAATTTTTATCTGGGCTAAAACAGTTATTCACAAATAACTTAATAACACAAACACTTAGCAAAACGTAAATCCGTACACTTCATCCCAGTGAAACTGTCGACCGGCGGTAGAGAACACGGACCAATATCTGCCATACTTAGCGAGGAACCCGCTATGGGCCCATGACCCGCAGTGGGCTCGCTGCCCCGTGTTTCCCTATACTCGGCATATTCCTTGATCAGCCTCCTTGTTGTAAATATTATTTCTCAAAAAAATAGTTATGATCGAGCCTGCTGATACACGGAGGGAAAATCCCGCATATAGCTGCTCAAATGGTGGCGTTGTGGAAGGTATGAGGGGAAAGAGACGTCGTAAATTACTCGACTGTCAGTTCACGACGGGCGGCATGGTGAACGCGAACTCAATGAGGGGCGAAGAATAACACGTGGCCAGTGATCGGCCTAGTCCAATTACTTATAACCGACCGTTGGCCATTCCTCGGTCACCTGAAAGCGGCCAGTTGCGGCGAGAAAGGGGCTGGCTAGGATATCATATTACACAGAGTGTAATATGATATACAGTAATATGATATAATATGTTATATGATATACACAGAGTCGCAACGCTCGAGGGTTGCGACTGGCCGAGCTTCGGGCAGATCAAGGATTTTACACGACGGTCGCGAAAACCTCGCTCTCAGACTTTGCTGCATTCTGACTACAAGCCTTAAGCCTAAGTACGATACGAACAGAAAAATGTAAAAAAATTAGCTCTGCCCGAGTTTGAATAAAAATTAAGTGGACCAACATTTCTTTTATTCGAGCGGCACATCGACCTCTCGTGTTCCCATTCCGATTATACATATTGACGTTAAAAAAGCCACGCTGTCAATCATGATGAACGAATAGATGCTCATGCATTCTATTAATAGTTAGAAACATTTCAGTTGGTAAATTTTATACAATAATTGCGTTGCCTTCTCAAAGAGCTGCATCAAAGCATACAGAACGATTTGATAAAAGCAGTGACGAAAAGCTGCAACGCTTCTTATTCCAAATTGGCAGCAGTTTCAGTCAGAAATTGGTGAAGTTTTTAGAGGGCGCCCAAAAAAATGTAGCTCTTTCCAACATATAAATTTTTTAAAAGAAAGTCAATGATTAACAAGTTTTCCCGCAACTTTGCGTAATCACTCAATGGAACACAGATGAGAAACTAAATGAAGCCAGCTTATCATTAATACGATGGGTATAGAAATAACTTTCATTGTCTTTTCCACAAACTCTGAAGGTCACAATTATGAGCAATTTACGAGTTCTGCAGACACCTCGGTGTGCGGGGATTATAATTTCTCCCTGGATGATCTCAAATCCGAAGATGACGCGACTGCACTTGAGGTAAAAGTACTAAAGATAAGGGGACTGTGCTTATCAGTCAGCAGTGTATATATTTAACAGGCGACACGCAGAAAGAAGCATGGCGGGGGTCCAAAGCGAAAGCTTGTTGGCCGATCCGCAGCCGGTTACGCTATTCGAAGTCACATTTTGATACGCACGCAGTTTTAACACTCAATAATCCCGTGCACCCCCGAGTTTTGTAATATAAACTGTATATTGTAATGTAACAAGGAATATGCAACCCAGAATGTTGCATGTTAGAATGCATATTGTAATGTGGAATCGAGCCTCGAGGCAGCTCATGAATAATAAATATAACGCTGGCACAACTCACTGACACCGTGCAATTTAGAATGATCAAGTCGAGGTACGAGTTCAGCTGAACACACTCAGATTGTGATCATTTGCGATCTAAAGTCATTAGTCACATTGTCAGCTTTGACGGCTTTGCAAATATGGAGCAACTGATTTAGAGCTTCGCCACTTCACTTGAACCAACGCTGAGCACTGTGTGATCGTGCGATCTAAAGTCATCAGTCACATTGTCAGCTTTGACGGCTTTGCAAATATGGAGCAACTGATTTAGAGCTTCGCCACTTCACTTGAACCAACGCTGAGCACTGTCAGATCATGCGATCTAAAGTCATCAGTCACATTGTCAGCTTTGACGTCTTTGCAAATATTGAGCATCTGATTTAGAGTTTCGCCACTTCACCTGAGCCAACGCTGAGCACGGACTCTTATTACATACACGTGTGATGAAAAAAATTGTGTTATAACTTAAATTGAGGTTCTTCTATCGAGTAACTTTCCACGGAAAAAAAATACAAAATTTAAACACAATCGCATCATCTTCGCTTACATTTCATTTTTATTTTATATACTTTTAATTTTTTCAATAGAGTTTAAATTTTCCGAACAGTTAAACCTAAATGTCAACATTTCATTGTGGATCTAGATGCCACTAGCTGTGGTGACGGATAGTCTCTGACAGACATCTGTGAACACGCGATCGGCAAATAAAACCAACTGTTTCAATAATATCATAAAGGTATAAAGTCAGACCATGTATAGTAGCAAGTCACAGGTCTTCTAACAGCCTTTCGTTCACGACGCGTATTGCCTTTATAGCCTCTTTGCCGCTTTTAAGCCTTCACGACTACCACCATGATGAAATCTGTCGGCCTTGTCCTTCTTCTCACAGCAGCCTTTGCCTACTCCGGTGTTGAAGGGTAAGTGAACTTAACAATGCATTCGGACACGGTGCTCTCTCCTACTGTTCACCTTTATCCTAAATTATTAGACCATATTGCTTTGTGCTCTAATTTTGTGCAGCCACTTCCAATCAGTGCTAAAAAAAGGTGCCAAAAAGGTGCATTTAGAGCTATGGATATTACTTGTTTTCCTGACTACAACTGGAAATGCTCATCTTTTGATGTTGGTGTACTTATTCCTATGTTGGTGTACTTATTGTTATTCCGATGTTGGTGTACTGTACTTTTGATGCTGGTGTACTTATTTTTGATGTTGGTGTACTGCTCATCTCTCCTGGTGTACTTATTCCTATTCATTTCTCTATCCCAGTGACAATGCGTGTGAAACGGCCCTCAGTAACAAAGCTATGAATGCAGGCCTGGATTCTGCCTACACCGCTTGCAGGTCAGATCCAGCAGGACTTGCCGCCTTGAAAGCCATCGAAGGTTAGATATTGTAAGATTTATCACATCAATTGGTTGATCTAAAATATTCTACCATCGCGCTACTCTATGGGGAATTCACCCAATTGAAATTATTTTGTTTCCAAAACTCTGTTCTAGACTTTTTCCTTTTAATTATTGGTGTTATTTAGTGACGTATCTTGAAATAGTGAGTGGAAACATTGTACATTCATGAGAGATTTAAAACAATAAGTAGGAATTTACGTGTTCTGCAGGTATTCCTGTCTGCGCGGGCTACATGTGGTTTGCCGGCGATATCAAGTGCGAAGTTGCCGCAGCTCCCTACATGAAATGTGTAGCGGGAAAACTTGGTTACGTAAGTCTGGAAATATCGCTAAGGTGTCTTTTCATCATCTTTCATGAACTCCACTTTAAATATTAGCTGACCACTATTTGTGGTGTTGAACGTGACAGCACATCAAATGAATAACGCCATTTACAGTGCACCATCAGAGCTATCTCTTTCAAACAAAGTAATAATTTACATTATGAAGTTACAACCCTTGTAAATGTGAATACAGCACTCATTCATTCATTTCTAGTTGAACGCTAATGGCTCTATCAACAACACAAAGATCTTAGCACAGTTCAAGACTTGGGCCACTAGTGATCCCAACTGCAACGTTGCTCAGTACAACTTCGCTGCGAATAAATGTGGCACTACCATTAACAACTACGCCGTAAGTTTTTCTTGCCTTAGCGGGACACGCTCAAAGTTATTTTATATCAGGACAATAAATTAAGATTATTTAGCACTGAATTTATGGTAAATTAACTTAGAAGCCGAGTGAAAATTTGATTTACGAGTATGTGAAAACTTATGCAATTCAATCTCAGTTTTTGTGAAAATACGTGTCGAAATTTCATGCAGACTATCCTGGAAGTTTCTTTGATCTGGCAATCCCCTTTTCTGATGCTAATGTTACATATGCTTACCTGTGAAACTGTGAAACATACAATTCTACCTCTTTCTAAATTATTTGGATAATTTTGCGTAATGTTATCACTACAATTCTAAGCATTCTTTCAAGTTTATATACTAAAACTGAAGCATCAATTCAAGCCATGCACATTTTTGTTGATATAATTAACTGCTGCAAACAGTTTGTGGCGAAGGCCGTATGCATCATTTTGGCGACGGACCAGTACACTGGGTTACCTGCGCAATCTGGCCCTCATTCCTTCATCTTATTGGCGGCTTTGAAGTGTTCACAACAGGTGCACAATAATAATTAGGGATCACTTTCTCCAGTCAATGCGTCCACGTACAGTAAAAATTATCTAATGGGAAGTTCATTGTAATTCGTAAAATAATAAATTCAATAAAATCCTGCGTAAAATCATATTAACAATTATTCTTATATTTGTGAAGTGAAATTAAAACACTTTTGAAGAAAAGGATCATTTCGCATTGTACCAATATATTTGGTGTCAAGATATTTCTATTTGAGGTACTTGAAATTATTAGAATTAGACAAGTTCAATGCAATGTGGCTTGAATATAAGTTCAAATAAATAAGCGTGTTACCAATCATTATAAAATTATATATAATCAGAAATCATAATGATTTTAGTGTTTCTTTCGCTTCAAAATTAGTGACACCTAGGTCGTTGTCCTTAGAACCTCTGCACTTGTTTTTACTTCTCCTGACAACATTCAACAATAGAACTTTTACACAACTTAGGCGAAAAAATTTACAATACATTATGTAACTGAATAATGTTTTGATTTGCCTTTTTGTTGTGGATAAAATGTTGGGTTGTCTGTTACTCAAATCTCTCCGTGATGAACGCGCATTCAAATCATTGCGTAGTTAAAAAATTTATTAAATAAAGTACACACAAGGAAATTAAACACAAAGGATCAAAGAAACCAATAGCTACATTTGAAAGGCAGAGATGCGATGCATTAGTTTCGAGAGACACATCGCTCTCTGTAACTTGAAGTAAGTTTCACTGACATGCATTTGGGTACAGAGAAATGTTAAAGAGCAAGGGCCTAAGGTTGAAATGATAACTGGAGTAACGTGAAGGAGTGGTTGAACAGAAGCTTTATTTTTACGTTGAATACCATTTGTTTCTACAAGAAAACATGAAACACACAGCACTTATTCTCAACTAGAACAATTTTTGAGTCGATAAATGGAATAATGTTGATCAAGGTGATCATTACTGGGAAGTGCTCGAAGTATATCAAACAAAATGCAATCATCCTAAGCGAAACTAACTTGCTGAAAATTAATTTTGATACGTTTGAATCGAAACATGTACCAATATTTCTGTGAGTTGATAAAAATCGAGCGTCATCATTACATTACAAACTGAAAAAATATTTCCTAACATTCTTCAATCGCTTGCTAGTGTTTGCTGCATTTCTTTGAATCAACCCGATTAATGTTTAAGGCGATAGATAGCTCTTGGGATCATTTGTCCGGGTCGCCTGCCGAAGACCACAACTGCCCTGGATGTTTTGGACCATCATGATTCCTGCCTTCCGGAACGTAGCCTTCAACACTTCAAGCCGTCCGTATCTAGGCCGTGGGTCGAACCAACCCTCGGTCGAACGGCAACTTGTCGAAGGACGATAAATTTTGGAACAGAACTATGTTATCTGAAACCTAACCTCAGATGCGGTGAACGTAAAATTACGTAATTTAACGATGCCCAGAAGTCAGATTCGATCCGCGGCCTGGTGGTGCACGGCAGGTGGTGGTCAAGGCCGGAGGAGGACAAAGCCGAGTGGTGCACGGCTGATTGGTGGATATCCAGAGAGATCCAAGGCTTCGATTCTGGGCTTATTGGTGTACAAAATTGGTGGTGCACGGCTGCGCTCCCATTTGTCCCACACTGCAGGATAAAAATAAATTTATCCCGGCTCTGAAATACGAATAGCGGTTTTGGAAAGCCCGTTAATTTCGTAGATTTTTAAGGGGAAGGGGAATTTCATAACCGTACCATAATTTCTGGACGAAATTTTCAACCGCTGCCTCACTGACAGTGTCGTTGTGAGCAATTGCATAACAGCTTACATTATGCCTCTATTGAAAAAACAGACATTGATTCTTCTGATCCCAAATCGTATCGACCCATCTCCTACCCGTCGATTTTGTCGAAACTCCTGGAACGAGTTGCGGCCCGACAACCGAACCGACCATGTGCATATCTTTCATTTAGTTACACCCGCAAGTCATTTTCTAAGTATGTCTGTAGATTTCTAATCGTTATAATTTAGTGCGATTACCTGTCAACTCAAACGTACGAGGGCTATACAGAAACTAGGGTACCTTTTTTGATAAAACAAAAACTAGGTATGGGAAAATATTATAATTATATACATATTTTAATAAATATTTTATCATATACATCGAAACGCTGTGTGGCTAGCCAGCGCTGCTTGATGACGACGGCGAGCTTCGGGCGTGCGTCACTAAGTGGCTGAGATCGAGGCGGCGGATTTCTATGGCGAAGGAATTTCGAAGCTTGTCCACCGCTACGATAAGTGCCTTTATTTGCTTGGTGACTATGTAGAAAAGTAGCATTAAAGTCACGGTCTCAGATGTATATAATAAAATATTTTTCCTAGATCTACTTTTTGTTTTATTGCAAAACGTTCCCTAATATTTGAATAGCCCTCATATTATGAGTATTATGATCCATTTCATTTCATTTATCATCAATATAATTACCAACTGTAATCTAAATATTGTGGAGTATAAGTTAGCAAACATTTTAAATACTAGCACGGACCTAGCGCGTTATAATATCAGGAAATTGTCGTTTGCCAGATTCTTTTATATAACTGTCATAGCCTTTGTAAACTGGTCTCCAAACTTCGCTTTAGGAGAGAGCGAATCCCATTTTTTCTTACAGAATAGCGAATCGCGTGTTTCCTTCGCAATACGAAAGACGGTTGTAGGACACTAGATTAGTCTGATCACCGACCCACATGCCTCAACTGACGCACAAGGCGCTTGGTGTACATTCATGACTGACGACAACCAACTTCTTGGACTAATCAGACGCTCATACGAGTTCCTAGGTGCAGAAGCGATGAAGCAGTTGTTTGTTGCTGTCGTGCGCCCGAATCTAGAATTTGGAAACGTTGTGTGGTCACCGAAATTTGAAAAAGACAAAAAATTAATAAAGAATGTTCAAAGACGTGCAACAAGGATAATTCCAGTCTTGAAAGGCAAGGCCTATGAAGAAAGATTAAAGATTATTAAGCTTCCAAGCCTCAGTTATCGTGGGGACCTCATTGAATCAGTTATCGTGGGACCCTCGTGGGGACCTCATTGAAGTATACAAGTATACTCATGGTTTATAAAAGCTCCCCGAAGGATTACTAGAATTTGAAACAAGAACCAACACCAGGGGCCACGACTATAAACTAAAAAAACTGCGCTGCAACTTATCCACGCGACAACATTTCTTATCGCTTCGAATCACCGACATGTGGAACAGCCTCCCCGATTACATCGTTTGCGCTCTGAGTATGAACGCGTTCAAGAACAGACTAGATAAAGCTATGAAAAAATATATGTTCAGACTTGAAATGCCTATAGCACCATGTCGAACCCGGTTGAAGTCTAGTAGATATTTCAAACTATCGTCAGTCCTGAAAAGATCCGGTCAAATGACACGATTTTAGATCTTCTGTGAACAAGTCACGAAAAGTAAGAATCGACGACAGGCCACATCAGGCCTAAACTTCAGTGCCAACATCATTATGTTATGTTATGTTAAGCGATTGACACGAGTTTGCCCTTCAAGAGCTAATACTGCCCCTGATGGCATCCCGAAGTCTAATATGTGCAAGCTTCTGACACAGAAATCTACGGTGAATATTAAAAATCATACAAAAATCATACAATCAGGATTACACTCGATTATGGATACTTTATCTCCAATATCCTTTTAGCTGCGCATAAATTGATCTATATCACATATCATTATTCATCTCCTGGGCTCTCATACCACAATCACATAGTTGGCTCTATCTCGAAGCAAAATTACTTGAATGCACATAGAGAATATTATTAATACAAATTTTGTGGCGAGAGGGGCCTACAGGAAATTGCTCATCACTTTCTCATAGAATAAGGCATTCCTACTTTAAGCTTGGGCAAATATTCAAATGGGAAATTCCTGCACGTATTTAGGTATGTTAAAAAATTCAATCTCTACCTAGCAAAAGTGGATCGGCCCAATCGTTTTATTCGTTAGAATTACACTGAGAAAGACGAGGTAATTGAGATTCCCGCTTAAATGTCATCACCCGCTAGAAAGTGTTAACGTTACTAACTGGAATGCCTTTCCAGCATTCAAAACCGCTTATACTTAATTAATTACACGAATTTACGTGTCAACAACTTCAGTGTATTTTATTGTCATGCGTTTCATTATTACTCACTTGGATGTATTTCCATGTCACGTGTATCAGTATCACTCACTGGGATGTATTTCCATGGCTATCTGCTTGACGTTGGCCAGGAGGCTGACGTCGTGGGTCAAGACCTCCATGAAGAACTGAATCTCGGCGCCCTCGACGTCCATCTTGAGGAAGTCGATCACCCGCTCAGTTGCGTTTATTAGGCGTGTTACGATTTCTGGACAACCTAGCTTTGCAAGGTTCTTCCAATATGACTCGCTGTTGCCCAGTTAAAATTCAGAGGAGAGAATAGAGCTGGCCGTAGTCGGCTATAGGGCCAACTTAGAGACGCGACAGAGATGTGATAGACCTTATTGATAGAGCTGTCGAAAAGGTTAAATTATAGTATATTGATCTTCTATGGCAACTAATTAGGAATGTTCAAATTTAAATTTCTATACCAATTCATTTTAAAATTTAACGCAGTCATTTAGCGGCCAGGGAGGTCGCAACTTTACTTAAACGGTTTTTGAGGCTTTCCCTCTAGCGAAACCAAAGTCGGGCAACGCTGGCCGCCAACATACAGATTATCTTCAGCCACCATCCGTGCTACTCCCACCTGTGTCGTTCCTGTTGCCGACCTTTGTGCCCATCCGTGCGTTGGATTATCGTCTTGTGGCTTTCGTACGGATGATGGAACTTTACTAGCACACCAACAACTTCTAGACGACTCCTCACCTGGGCCCAGAAGAGCTTGCACTTCTGTTTTGAAGCCGTAAGTCGCTATCCAACCCTGTGGGAGTTGCCGAGACCGAAGCGAGCAGGGAGTTGCCGAGACCGAAGCGAGCAGGGAGTTGCCGAGACCGAAGCGAACAGGGAGTTGCCGAGACCGAAGCGAGCAGGAGTTGCCGAGACCGTAGCGAGCAGGGACCGAAACTGTCTCCAGGAGT